ACAGCACTGTAAGGCATTTAGCAATTGTATTTTAAAAGAGGTTTTTAAGATGCAGCTCACTTGTAAGCTCCCTGTCTGTCAGTAATTAATAGTTTTTCTTCAGCATAAGCTGTTGTGATCAAACCAAGAAATATCTGAGTTTTTAGTAATACATTATGATAATTGTGAGTGTTTATTCCTAATTAGTTTAAATGTCTAATAATTTTCAGCTTGTGTCTCTGGCTACTTAAAAAAAGAGTGACTTTTAAAGCTACAGTGTGTCTTTGGGCTTTTAAAAATATGAATGTAGGTATGCATGTATATTTCAATAAGCTTTAATTTACTCTCAGCAAAATTATATGTCACTTGACTCATTCATTAACCACGTATTGTATCCTTCAATATAATTTCCTAGTTTTTAGACATTACATCATTTGTGTATGTAGAAACAAGTGTTTTCAGATATGGCTATATGTACAGCTAAACCCAAACTGACAGTCTGGATTCTTTAGTACTCATTACTAAAACTTACTTTACTTCTCAAAAAAGGTTTTAAAATATGAGCATTTCTATTAGATCAATGTGGCAACATACTTGCTGATGAAAGATTGTAGTTACCATTTTGAATTGCTATTGAAAATAATTGCCTCTACAAAAGGAAACATCTGTATGATAGCACGTGGTTAAAGCTGCCATCAATTTTTAACATTTGAGGGTTGAGCTATGACCTTTTATGATGACTGTGAACAGTAACTGCCTCCATTAGCCATAAGTTTTGTTTCTTTATTTCAGTAGATGGCCTAGGCTGTAAATATTAGAGAATCTAAAATAAATCAACGTATTATCCTAAGGATACAAAATGTAAGAGCTATTTGTGGTTGGGAACCTTTGACAGATAGTTTGGATGAAGCAGATGATTGCCTGCCTAGCGTATCTGGTCTGCATTGCTATGCCTGCAGGCAGTTTAGTGCTATGGTTGTATATTGATGTCAGGGTTAGTACTGAGTGGCTAGCAGTGACAGATGTCTATAATTACAGGCAATGCTTCCAGTATTTCTGAAAAGCCAGCCTATGTTGAACAATTATCTTATTTCTGCCTTGCCAAAGAGCATGTTCCAATTGCTAGTATTAGAAATGGTGAATATAGCGCTTCATCTGCTGCCTTGGGACAAATGTGGGAAAAGCACTTGGTTATAAAACGTCAATGCAAAATATTTTTTTTAACATTTTGAATTAGTTCAGTTTGGTGTTTTCCTAATTTTTATCTTCCCATAATGTTTCTGTTGAGGGAATCTTGAAATAATAGAAGCACATTTGGCTACTTATTGGGATTTTGTTTTCCCTTAGGCCTGTGTATCTCCCAAGTGCCAGTATCCCTTGCTTTGCTGAATATATTTGTGTAAGCAAAGTTGGTTTTGAAACAACTTTCTCAAATGTGAATTACATTATTTTGACTGACTCCCTTTACAAAATTGGAAATACATTTCTATGGACAATCTCCCACACCTTCTGATAAGGAAAATTGCAAAAGGATAGTGCAAAAATGTGCAAAAATACCTTAGTGCACTGGTGTCTTTACTGAGAAATTGCAATTCTCAATTTTTGTTTTAATCTTTTAAGCCTTCAACCACTTATTGTCCTCTCCTGTCTCCACACGACCACTTCATTCCATGCTACTATCACTTAGCCCACTTTCATGATTCATTAGAAATGTTTTCATGCCTGATGGTCCCAGTTCCCAGCCATCTATTTTTTCCTGGTTATTTGCATTTCTGAGACACAGACAAGACACTGATACCACAGTCTCCAGCAGATACAGCTGCATCCTTACACAATACCCTCCAACTTTACATTCCTGAGGTTCCTAAAGTTCATGACACTGGGTATTAAAACATTATCCATGCTGTAAGTGATACATTCTGTATTTTCTGGCAATGTAGACTGAGAAATACTTAGGAAATAGCATTTGAGATATGTTTTATCTCCAACCTTAATCTAACCTTTATTGGGTTTCTGCTTTCTGCTTAACTCCACTATGTGGCATTATTTGTTACATTTTCTCCTTCTCAGCAAAATTTTGTCTTCTCAGCAAAATTCCCTTTAATAGGTACGATTATCTTCCATTTTACAGAATTTAAAAAAGGTTTTAGAAAGGTTAAAAACTTGTTCAGTGTCAGTTACTTCCTGAGTTTTCAAGCAAATCATTATATTCTAAACTCAACTTTGCTTTCCAGCACATCCTATTACCTTTATATATATTTAGGCATGAGGTGGCGCTAGTGGTAAAGAGTTCAGCTGCCAGTGCGGGAGATGTAAGAGACACAGGTTCGATCCCTGGGTTGGGAAGATCCCCTGGAGGAGGGCATGGCATCCCACTCCAGTATTCTTGTCTGGAGAATCCCCATGGACAGAGGAGCCTGGTGGGCTACAGTCCATTGGGTCGCAAAGAGTTGGACACGACTGAAGTGACTTAACATGCATGCACCAGGCATGATCAGATTTAAGTGTAATGATTGATGAGACCATTATCAGAAGTTTCATCCCCATATCTGCTGTTTTACTTCCCAAGGAAAAATTTCATCTCTACAACCATAGATTGTACCTCTAGTTCTGGCTAGCTGTCTATCAGCATTTCAACCCTTGGTCTAGTATGAGAGGTCAATATTATATTCATAAATGAATGGCAGACTCTTTCTGTTCTTACTGGGCCTATCACACAAAAACTCTTTTGGTAATTTAAAACTAATGATGTTCTGGAACCCCTTGTCTGTGTGCATTTAATTTAACAAAGAAAACTCAGAGAACTGGATGAATTTGTTTACCTGAATTGGGAAGACTTTGATAATCTATTGGACACAGGGATGTAAATCATCACTTAGCCCGTTAGATGAGAGCTCACCCTGGAGACAAGAAACAGGAACTTGTAATGATTCAAAAAAGGAAGATGAGGGCTCTGAAATCAGGAGCCTAAGTTGCACAGATGAACCCTTGGGACAGAACATCACCTGCTGCCACAGAGCATTCTGTTTTCCTCCTGTCTCCTTTCTCATCACATTTCCTTTTCCTTCTCTGTTAAGCAGACGTTATAGGTGGAAGACACAAGAGTAGGAATTAGGCTATCTTTCATTGGGACTCTTATCACTCTTCTTTAAACACTACTAAAGCTGCTCACGTACTAGTTTAGAACAAATATCTATTTTCCAGCAGCTAATATAAAGCGCAAATAAAAGGGACTGTCATCTTGGTGTATGGCTCATAACCTCAATGTCAGACTAATGTTTGACTGTATCGTATTTACTAGTAGCAGCCATTTACTGACCATCTAGTCTGATGGCTAGTAGCTAATGTTTATTTGGTGCACGCTGTGTACTGAAAGTTTTCCAAGTGCGCTGCCAGTGCGCTGCCAGTGCTGTATGTGGTACAGCGTTTGGTGATGATAGTAATAATAGCCACTGCTTCATGGAAATTTCCCCATGTGCCCAGACTGTTGTAAGTGCTTTACATATGTTAAGTACTTTAACCCTCTCAAAAATTCTGGAAATTAGGTCCTACTATATCATCCTTTTTTTATATTTGAGAAAACTGAGTTGTAGAGGATAAGCAACTTGTTCAAAATCATTCAGTAATTCATAGAATCCAACTAGTTTTGGCCTTCAGAATCACTCTTTAACCACTTTATTGAACTGCTTTCTAATTTGTGATATTTTCATTGTGATATTCTTTCCATATATATATAAAGAAACAGGCTCTTAGAGGCTAACTGATTTTACTAGAATCATAGGCTTGATTCATTAAATCAAAATATTTATTGAATGCCTTTTACCTGCCAGGCACTGTGCTAGACTCACAAGGAGCAGTCTCATGCAGAATCCCATGTGCATTGCACTACATATGCATTCTGTGTTTCTTCCTGGTTGAAGTTACCTAAAATATGTACTGGGTTAGCTTGTTCATTTTTGTCTTCTTACTGAGAGAAGAATATTCTTCCTGGGCAGCTGCTTGGTTGGTTCTTGGTTCACCAGTTAGACTTCTGCATACATTGTAGCTAATTTTCAACATAAAAGTATTCAGTAGGAAGGCTAGGATGGAAGCATTACTTAGCCTATTGCTGCAGATATTGCCTCTTCAAAGAAACCCTGATGTTAGGGTTTGAAGACATCAGAAGTCCATCAGAAGGTGAACTCTGATCCGTTGCATTTAGGGTAAGCTGAAGTTTTCACTAACTAGGCTAGTGAGAGAGACAGAAAGTAAAAGATACAAAAGACTATAGGATCAATGTTTTTGAGTAAAGTTTGAGAATGTAATAAAAAGATGAAAATAGCTGATTTGAAAGAGTAATAAAAACTATAGATAGCCATTGGTAGCCTGTTTTGTTCTTTGAGCTGTTATTCCTTTACTCTTCGTGTCAGGTTGTACTTCCTAGAGGGATAGAGAGTTGAGTGGGAAGAACGTACAGAAGTTGTTTTGAATGTAGGAAATGGGACATGTTTCAGAGAGGCAATATGGAAGCAGTGTGTGTGTGCAAGAATTGGATTAAGTGGTGGAAAACTCAGTATGATTTAAATGACTACTGAAATAAGTTTCATTCATTAAACATGTACTTTTACCCATCAGAAGGTGACTTGGCCTACTTACATCATTAGCCCCATTGCCACACTTGCATAATGAGAGTGCCTCGTGGGAAACAACAGTACTAAGAGATCCTTAAAAATAGTTCTGTCAGTTATTATTTATAATTTGTTCTTCCTTAGGGCTATACTTTAATAATTGGTTTCTTGAATTATTTCATAGAAGCAAACCCATTGTAATCCATATAACCACATCCAGGCTTTGAACAGCACTTCACCGTGCCTCTGCTCATAGCCTCCAGAATAAAATCAAAGTCCCATGAATATTTTAAGTGACAGCCACAAAGATCCTGAGCCACATTCTCCTTGTATCTGAAGTTGGGAAGGCCTTCTGCTCTTCCCTTATCCCTGAAATCAGGTGGCAGGTCCCTAAACTCTGTGCTTTTTAGGTTGTACGCCTGAGGAGTGATGTGTCCAGAGTTCCAGAGAAGGCTTGGAAAGTAGTTAAGGTGAGTTGAGCTGCTGGTTCTTGTGGTAGATCACCAGTCTTTATGCTTATCTCACCACACCCCTAGATTCTTATTATTAAAATAGGCACATTCACAGTGATAAGTGTAGGGGAACATTGTCTTGATTCTTTTTTTTTTCCCACTGTGTAATCCTACAATGTGCATGTTTTATAACCAAATGTTTAATAGTCAGCTAATAAGCAGTATTAACTGTGAGGCCTCTGTTTGGTGTGATAGTGTGAAAGCAGCCTAGGTTTCTTGATTATAACACTTCTGAAGTGGCCAATTCTAGCCAGTTATCCATGGACAGAGAAGCCTGGTCAGCTACAGTCCACAGGGTCACAAAGAGTCAGACACAACTAAGCAGCTAATACACACTTTCTATTCACACCTGAAAGGAGGAAGTTGTATTAGTTTACACTGAATAGCATCTCTTAATTGCATGGTATCTAGAGCACATGTGTCTCTTGTGCCAGAATATGTTTCTGAACACCACCTTTGAAAGGTATAAAGGATTAAACAAAATCATTTACTTCCCAATTCCCCACCCTCTAACAGACTTTATCTAGCATCAATTCTTTGCTCCAGAATGTAATCATGTCATCTTATAAATTTGCAGTTGGCAAGAATTCTAAATCTTGAAATGCCCCCTTTAAATTACGATCTCAAAGCCTTCACCAAAATTAATCAAGCTTTCTTCTCATAGCCTTGTGCCATAGGCATGGTTAGCCTCTTATTGTATGAACTTGGAAAGATAATATATTTGCCCTAGACTTTACCATGGCTTTAGCCACAGAAGACTAGTTTAACAGAAGCTTGGCCCCAGATATGGAGCGAGTTGGCAGCCAGCAGGAGCAAAGCTGTGTCAGGACGAATGTACACTCCCCATCTTCTCTAGTTGGCTTTCAGCTGGTTGCACCACAGGAGTCTTTCTATGGACTGTGTGTCCTGTGACCAGTAACTGGTGCTCTCGACCCAGCTCCCTCTTGGCTAGTGAAGGCCTGTCGGGAGACATTAGGTTCCTGCTGGTGGAGATCCTTAGTCAGTGGCTCCCTGAAGGAAAATGAGGCAAACAGCCAGCTTCTGTTGAACAGGTGGTAGTTAGACCTTAGATCTGGTCATGGCTGGGAAGAAAAGAATCTCTCCAAAATTACCAGTATTACTGGCTTTCGCACTGTACCTGTACCCCTCCTTGTAATAAATGATTGTTTAGAAACTAATCCAAAATTCTCTCTGGCAGCATCTGGGGCCCTTCCTTAGCTGTCTGGATTTGGGCCCAAGTTAGGAATGGAAACCCCACTGGGGTGCAAGCAAAAGAGGAAGCATGTTCTTAGGCATGCATCAGTGGAGGCCCCTACTGGGAGAGGGGATTATCACAAGGCAGCAGGCAGCCCTGCACCCCAGCCTGCTGAGTTCATGCTTTGTGCCACAGGATGTGGAGCGAAGGAAATGTGAGGCCAAAGTGATCGCTCCAAGTTTTCTTATACAATAGCTTATTCAAGCAGATTGGGAACGCCTCTTAAGAGATTTGTAAGGTACATGTCCCCTTAGCAAGATGGCCACCACAGATGGTAGGTTCAGATATTCTAATTGAAATAAATTCTTAACATTCATATTTATTTTATTTTTCCATAACCAGCTTTTGTTTATCAGATGTCATTCTGTATTCAAACTGAATGAGGCAAGCAGATTCCTAATCTTTTACTGCTTGGTTTCCAATATAAATTATGGTTTTAAAATTAACTTTTGGCAAGAGATTGTTTCACCTAGTTTTGGTTCTGTATTTTGTGCTGTTGTTTTAAATGATGTGGAAAAATTAGCCAAGATTAACGTGGCTCTATTCAGTATCACTAAGTTTAGGTATTTAATATACAACAGTTGATTCTTGTACCATTAATTCTCTTGGTCACAAGTTAATTGTGATTATCATGTCTTATTCTGCTTCAGACATTAACAAGGGAGCTCAATATCTTTAGTTCCAAGCTGCTTAGATCCAAGTCATAAATGTTCTGTTAGTTTCCTCTTATACCTTTCCTTTTATTCCCCCCCTTCCCTTTCTGTTTAATGGGTCTCATATAGAGAGCACTGCATTAGCCTTAAGGGCACTTGAAGCCTGAGAAAAATTGTGGAAATTGGTTTCTTACTCATAAGAAGTGAGTTCATACTCAGTTGCAAAATTATTTTCTAAGGAACATTAATGTTTTTATTATATTGAATCCTCTCCAGTGACAGATTGTTCAGTTAAAATCTTGATTTATAAGTCATTTCAATAGATTAAAACTATACTTTAAAATTTATAATTGAGTTTTTAAAATTTTATGGTATCAATTTTGTATTAATGGATGTGAATTCTTTTATACTGAATTAGTTCAGGAAACATATCATTTGGTGACAAAATATTTTGTTGATTTCCACAGCACTACTAATTTTCTACACTGAGCCTGCTTATAAAAGCTCTTTGAGAAGTTATAACATCTTAAGCATTTATAGCAGGCCCAAGGGTATTAACTTATTGTAATTTTCTGAAGATTCATTATCCAAAATCTTAATTCATTATAACAGCTTTTATGAAAACCTATAGAACCAGTGTTTTCTCTTATTTTCTTATTTGTGCAGGATGAGAGATTCATTGTTCTTTTTAATTTGTTTCATGTGGTGCTTTTGAGTACATTTCATAGAGGGCTGTTATTGAATTTCTGTGACTGTCATTATATATCCATACAACCTTTAGGAACTAATATTCTGGGTTTCCCAGTCCTGTAATCTACTTCAAATTTAAGGATTGACATAATTAGTTTCTTCAAAGTTATAACCAGAATGTTAGAGACAACTCTGCAGATACCCAAGACCAAGGATTAGGATTGGAAAAAAAGGCAATTTAAAAAATTATCACAGTGCATGCTTTTGTTCTTTATTAAATTTATAGCTCAAAATCTTATTGCTGTTTGTGTGTGTATTCCCTTGTCTGGTTTTCTTATCTTGTCTGGCTTCTTTTTTAAAAACCAGATTAAGATCATTTCAACTACCTGCATATGCTCACACGATATTTGTCACTTGGTTAGTTTAGAAATTAAAGAATGTATTGGGTCACTGAAGCATTATACATGTACCCAAATGTTCTTTTCTGAAGTTTAAAAGAAGCTCTACAGTAAAATGAATAAAGATAAGAAAACATATTAAGACAGTGTTTTAGGAGCATGCCTTCTTATGTCTGTAATAATGGTAATTTCTTATATTTCTAATGACTTCCTGTATTTCAAGAACCAAAGAAATGGGTGACTGGTTAAAATGTGTAATATCCCTAGCTTCTAAGATAATGACTATCTAGAAGTAGAAAGAATTTGGTTTTGTATCATGAAAATGTGAAGCTTTATGCTCTTAACAAGTGCCATTTCTAACCATGATTAGAATGTGTTAATTGGGACTTCCCTGGTGGTCCACTGGTTAATAATCTGCCTTGCAATGCAGAGGACCCAGGTTCAATCCCTGGTCTGGGAACAAAGATTACACATGCTGTGAAGCGACTCAGCCCGTGTGCCAGAACAGACATCCCTGTGCTGCAGCTAAGACCCGAAGCAGCCAGATGAACAAATACGAAAACATAATGGACTGAACATACATAAAGATTTCAAAGTTAATACAAACTGTAAGGGTTTTTTTGGCTTGTTTTCACCTTTTTTCTGTGTGAAAGTCTTCAAGGTAAGCACTTACCCTTCTGCTACTTTTTATATAATCGCTTTTCTCTTGGAAAGGTAGTAGCTGACAATACTAGCATATACTAGAAAGGGTTTGGAGAAGGAAATGGCCACCCACTCCAGTACTCTTGCCTGGAAAAGTCCATGGACAGAGGAGCCTAATGGGCTACAGTCCATGGGATTGCAGAGCTGGACACAACTGAGCACATGCATACATTAGAAGGGGTCCCTGAAAGGGGCTGGGAAGGGAAGCAGCATTTGCTGAGCAGTACTAAATGCCAGGTTCTGTTAGGTACCATCCTTTAACCTTCCCCAAAGCCCATAAAGTAGGTCTTATTATCATTCTTGTTTTTCAGATAGGAAACCAAGATCCAGAGACTTTAACACCTAATTAATGGCAGAACTCAAATCCAGTTATCTTTGGGGCCAAAACCTATGCTTTTCTGTGTTGCTAAGTTTATCAAGACAGTGTACTAAGTACTTCTGGAAATGTAAAAAGAAATAGACATTTTCCCTGGCCTCAGGCAGCATTTGCATGAAGTAATGGAGGAAACACATATTAACATGGAAAATTATTAGTACAGTAAGGTCATACTCTGTTATGTGAAAAGTGCCACTAATCGGCCTGCAACAATGGATGCTCGGAGTATCCACAGGAGAAGAGAGAGCTCTTCTTAGTGAATCTACAAGGAGAGCCTCTTCCTGAAGTATTATTTAAGCATTGAAATTACTTCTTTCTATAGTAAACAACAAGGATCTACTATATAGCATAGGGAAACATGTTCAATATCTTGTAATTATCTATAAAAGAATCTGAAAAAGAATATATATATATACATATACATATATATATATGTATAACTGGATCACTTTGCTATATACCTGGAACTAACACAGCTTTGTAAATCAAGTCTATCTCAATTGAAAAATGATAATGATTTTTAAAAACTACATCTTTTTAAATAATGAAACTTTGCAAGTGGTCACCTGAGTGGAATTTGGAATGTTATTTTTGCAGGAAAAAATAGTTCTTTGTATAAAAACATGCCTTTTTTGTTTGTTTATTTTTTCCTTTTGTTAAAATAATTATGAATGAAATGGAATCAGCCAAAATGTGCATTTTTGTTACACATTCAACAGTTATTGAGTAATAGGGATGCAAGATGAAAGAGTATTATGTCTGTCCTCAAGGAGTTTGTAGTCTAATGGAAAAAGCAGGCATCTTTAAAAAAGAGAGAAAGACACAGATTGACAGGCAAAAACTAGATTACAATGTGTGCCTCTCTGATTGTGTGAATATGTAACCGAAGGCATAACAATAAATTCAACTCCATTGTATCCTTCAGAGAAAGATAGGCAACACAAATGGGCTTATTGGTCTTTTATTTCTTAGGTATTTGCTTATTTTTCACTATGATCAAATTATCTTGATTATGAGATAAAAGATTAGGAATCTATGAACTGAAAGTGAGCCTTTTTCCTTTTCTTTCCTTCCTATGCCAACTCTTGTATTTTTCCTTAAAATGAGTATGTATTGTGATGTAGTTTCTTGTTGCTGTCATAAAAATTATTTGGGTGAAGTGATAGAAGTTTTAGAAAATGTTGAAAACCCCTAAATACTGTGTTAGAATTTTTTCAGTAGAAAACTTTCATTGAATTGTGCTTTATGATAAACAATTTTATAGATATTTGCTCACTGGACAAATTAGTCCTCACCCCCAGATTATGTGTATGTATGGTATAACTGCATTTCAAATGTTTAAAGACATTTTCATATTATCTGCATTCTCTCTGAATTCGTGATAAGGTACCTTGGAAAATGTGAAATGGTCTTTTAACAGAAATGCAGTAATCATACATTGATTTTAAATGACCCTGTCACACGTGAAAACAAATCAGATTGTTGCTCTTAATGAGCTTTTCAATTTACTATTCAGTAGATCAGATAAGTGGATTTAAGAGGTAATGATCCTGTTTAGTACTCAAGCTTGACTGTCAGATCCTACTAGTGGAGAGCAATCCCTAGGGACAAAAGCGTTGACACAGTTCTAGATGGGATAATGGGAATCAAAGCTAATGGATGATAAAAGGAATGGTGCAAGTTACAAGGATAATTGTGGATTAAAGCTCTGCCATGTGTCAATGTTGACTGTTTTTTAGCATCTTATTGGGTCATGTGTGATGCTTTGAGAAGCTGTTTTGACAACACAGCCCAATAGACCTGCCTGCTTAGATTGTTTCTTTCTTGAATGCCAGAGACACAACAGAAAACTCCTTATAGGAGCTAGCAATTTAAAAATATTTTTAGTATGTTTAAATGTTTAAAATCACATTTTTTTAATTTTTATTATTCAATGTAGCATGGGGGCAAAATCAAATTAATTTGATCTTTGCCATAAAAAAAAGCATTTGTAAAACCTTGAAAATGTAAAATTTTATTTTACAAAAATAGAATGTAGTAGGAGATATGGACACCCAAACAATTACAGTGTGAAAAGCACTATGCTAGAGAAATGGACCAGATACCATAGGAACATAAAGGAGAGTGCAACTTATCCTACCTGGAAATGGAAGGAGAATTCAGAGATGACTTCTCAGAGAGAATCAGAGGAACAGGAAGAAGAAGGCTGATTCAGAAAAAATAAACAGCTTGTGAACATATAGAGCTCTGTAATTGCATGACAAGCCTCAGCGTTTCGGAAGTATTTCATTGTGACTTTAAGTTGAGGGAAATGATAGAAGATGAGGTAGGTTGGGGCCAAGTTGTGAAGGGGCCCTGTGTGCCATAATCATATCAATATCAGGTTTTCCAAGGGACCCAATTTATTCCCATTCACAAGAGATTTTAGATCATGTTGAGATAAGGGAAACTTCCCTTTTTACAACCATTCTTCCTTTGAGCCTTCTATGTGCTGAAAGTTTTCTGATGATTGAGGATTTGATGATAACTAACTTCTGTAGGTTCTTTCTCCCTAGCTCCCTCTTTCCAGCAAATATCTTTCAAAAACAGTGATAGCTTTGATCTTACAAGAGATAAAGGCCTATTCTCATGAGCAAAGTCACAGATAGTAGAATTGAAATGCTTTTTAATCAGGGCTCAGAAGTTAGCAGAAGTTAACAGGAATTTGAATCTCCATCTTCCTTTCTTTCTTTCTCCCCCAGCTTCTCCCTACCTTTCTGCCCCCTCTTTCACCTGCCCGCCTCCTTTCCCTCTTTTTCTCCCCCTGATTCGCTGTACTGGCCTGAGGAGCTTCTGGTCATAGGACTTAAGTCAAAAGCTTGGAATACAAACTTCTGGTTAAATAATGTTTAAAAATCCAAACATGAGATCTCTGCAATTGGACCGCTTTCCTCCCCTGTGTTACCATGTAACTGTGGATGATGTGTAGTGTCCTGTGATCTCACCTTCACAACCAATGACATATATCAAGGTAGTGTTTACATATGAAAAGCAAAAGGCAGAATAAGTGAAAGCTAAGTTGCCATACCATAGGAAAAAGGCAGATCAGGAGAAAGTAAGAGAACAGAATCACAGGGGGTCAAATCAGAGATGAGAAATCCCGTACAGCTGGTATCTGGCAGAGATAACCTGGAATCACACCAGAGCATCAGGGAGTGTGAAGGTGTCAGCCCACCTCTCAGCTTTGCCAGGCTATTAGGGAATATTCCATTGGCTGCAAGTGGCATTTTCCCACTTGCACTGGGATATGTATTTATAAGCTCAAGTTGGCTGCAGTTGGGACTGAAATGTTACACCCCAAACTCTGCAACCAGCACCCCCTAATGGGAAGCTTAGTGGGTTCTCAGGCCCCAGTGTGTTCAGCAGAGAATCCCTGAGTCTGGGGTTTCAGTCTCAGCATGGAAAGTAAGACCTATCTCTATAGTTGGGGGAACTTGTTGAGAGAGATTTGAAGAAAATTTCTATAAATTATTCAACTTCCTCTTATTTTTGTAATCCTTATCTTTATAACTGCCTAACATAATCCTGAATTATTTGATGGCTTGCCAAAACCTGGAATAGATGTAAATTTTTTAAACGTTGCAATCTTTATTGAGGCACTCTGCTTTCCAGCCCATCTTTGAGATGAGTTTGTTACCACTTTGAGAAAAAAGAAATCATGTGGTATACTGGGACTAAAATTAGTAGGTGAATGTGGGTTTTTGTGGGTGTGTATATATTTCAAATAAGGGAAGTGCTTCCTGGAGGAAAAAGAGGAGTTAGAAAAATTTTTTTAAATCTCTTATTCTGTTCTCCCTGCTTGTTCCCTGCATCGTTGTGAATATAACAGCGTATTAAATCTTTACATTTATTCAGTTTGAATAGTCTGTAGAAAATATACATTAATGATAGACTTTTGACAATTAAATGTTTTCATGCAGGTATATGCCCGTATGTCAGAAGTCTTAGGAATAACAGATGACAACCATGTTCTAGAAACATTCATGACGAAAATGTGAGTCCCTGCTTTGGTTCTTTGATTTTTCTTTTGCTGTATTGCTTTGATCTTCTTATTATGCTTAAATATCTTCATAAATATTCATTTTTAATAATAGACTTCTAAAATTATGCTTTAATTTTAGAATGGTAGCATTATTCTTACCTGAAATTTAATTTCACATATTTAAAATTCACCATCCAGAAGTCATTGTTATTTGTCAAGGTATCCATACAACTGCAGTATGCAGTATCAAAACATAGTTTTGAGAAGTTTACAGACTTTGTTGAACTTCAGTTCAGTGGGCAGCCTTTTTAAAATTAAAAACAAAGTACTCAATTTTAAAGACCAACTCAAGAGATTATTACAAATTGGAATCATTGAGAGAGATTTGGTTGCCTTCAAACAGGGCATTCATTGATTCCAGTAGAAACCTATGGCTATCAGAGACATGTTCTTGGAAACTGTCCTTAAATTATCCTTGTAATATTAGTAGAATTAACTAGTTTCTGGTCAAGAAATAACATTGTACACTTAGCCTAAGGTTCTATGCCTGCACTTGACACCTTACTTCCTCTGTGTAACAGATAGATAGCACTGTCTTACTTGCAGAGAACAAAGCAAGATAAACAAACATGATCATAAGAAGTAAGTTTTGGAACCCCAAATTTGACTGTTCGTTTCTTGGCAGTGAGTGTAAGTCTCTACTTGACTTCCTTTGAAACTCCTATTGTCACTCCCTACTGTGTTTGTTTTGGATATAAACTTAATGTTTCTTTTGTGAAACATCTAGGCAAGTTTAATTTACAAAAATAAATTTATAGAATAATAGGCCATTTTGGAGAACAGTGTTTCTTGTACATCGATTGTGTATAATTTTGAACATGAAATGAAAAGAATAGAAAATGTTCCATTGGTATTTAAACCCACTTCATGAGATATTTGTGATGTAGGTCAACGTACATGAATGATGTGTATTTCCATGTTCTCCCTGCACAAGCAAATACCTTAATTGTAATTAAAATTTTTTTTCGTATTCAGTGTTACAAACCTTAAATACTGGGGAAGATGTGAGCCTGTAATTTCCAGGACGCTCCAGTTCCTAAGTGACCTTTCTGTTGGATATCCTTTTTACTGTATCTGATCGTGTGTATAAACAAACCTAACCGGTGCATTCTGTTGGCCAGGTTACTGTCCTTATTTATAATTTTTCAAGTGTTTTTCTTAAGTAGAAAGCCTTTCATTTAGCCTTATCTATAAATGCATAATTTTGAAAGATTTATATTAGCTACGTAATATGAAACATTTTATTCAGAATCACAATTGAATTTATATAGATACATAGATTTCTAACTAGCAAAAGTTACATTTATACCCACCCAGGTTTATAAATGGATACGTAAGAAAGTAGGCAGCCACATATGTTTTAATCCATGATTTTTCATAACTGTCAGGATGGTGTTGTTTTAAAATAACACATATAACTAATCTTAAGAAGATCAATATATTCTAAAAACTGTTATTTTATAAAAACTGAATTCCTAAGAGTCAGTATTTCTTCAGTGTTCATTTCAATTGAAATGAATTTTATTTTCTCTAGTTAGTAGGCACAAAGGAGTAACAGAAAGGGAATTATAAGGCTTTTGACCACTTCCTTGATTGTTTCCTCTACCAAATCAACATCTTGTTTACTCTAAAATAAGATTTCCCATTACACATTAAATGTTTAGGTCTCTCTTTACCAGATTTTTAAAATCTAAAACCAGAATCATCCTTTCTTATTAGATCATAGTTGATAGTGTTGTAAAGTTTCTACCAATGAGAGAGAATCATGTTGATTATCTTTTATATGTTAACTATCAAATATATAGAAGTTGTGAAAAATAACTGTTCGTTTAGTTAACCACTAAGATTAGCTGCTATTTTAATACGAAGACAGCATTCTGAAAATGGGTGGCATTGGATGGAAATCTTTAACATGGGTTCACTCCAGGAATATGTTTATATTAGTTAAGTTTAAAATTGTGTTCCTTTGCAAACCATAAAAGATTTCCAAAGTATTAGACACCCACTTTTGTGCTGGAATTTAATATGCAACTTTTTATTGGAAAATAATCGTCCTTGTCTGGCAAAATCCACCATGCAATATTTCTGTTAGTAGGTATAATGCAATAAAGACAGGGAGGGCTATTTATCACTACAAATTTTGAGGATTTCAGGATTCTTTTTATTATTTTAATATATTTCTTTGATATTAAATCAGAAAAATGATAAATTACACCTGTCCAGGCTGTTTTTCCTTTTTACTGGAAAATGATGTACAACCCAATTCCAGTGGTCATTTTGGCTTTTTAAGATATGTATTTTTTCTTATTAAAAAAAAAACTCAACCTGTATTTTTTTAATAATAATGCTGAAATACTCTTTATTTCTAACATATGAAGTGGTTTATAAGTACTTCCTAGTATTGCAAACTCTGGCCTTTTCACAATGTATTACTTTGAGAGCATATTATCTGGAAAGAAGCCTATGTTATTTTATGGCACATATCTGTGTTTAGATTTACCCTATTTTTTAGGTTGAAATTGAAATCTAATATAAAATTAATTTGATTTGTATTCTTTTTTGTTTAATTTACATAAGGCCTAATTTATTTGTACCTGCCATTTAAGATCCTTTCCTATCATTTACATCTTTTATATATTCTTTAATCCTGACTATAATCTTTTATTTTACAAGTCACTTATTGCTTTTGAGCACTCCTTTTTGAAGTTAATAAAAAATCATATTTTCCAAAAGCTTATTAGATAAAAGTTTAAAAGCTGTAACATTTTAAACCAAGGGATGGGCATAATTTCAACTTGGGTACATTGATTTATATTTTTTAACAATTATTTCAGGTTTGCATATTTAGAAATATATATTAACTCAATTTGATTTCAGTGCTCAGTTATTTGAATTATAAATCATTATGTCCCTTCTAGCTGATCAGTCATGAAATATCTTTGAATTCATTTACATAATGGAATATGTGAGTGGTGTATCTATTTCAGTGCAGTTGCTGGTTACCTAATGCATGTTTTGTTATTTCTAATCGATTTCTTTATTGTAATGTGGTTTTAAATCCTGATTTTAAAACAATACGTTATTTCTGTGTTAAAAATAAGATGGCTCAGCGATAGAAGCAGTTATGCAAGATAAAAATCATCACCAACTGACCTTTATAAATGGAAATCTGTTTATATATTAATATTCAAAATATTTGTATTGAAAATACTAGTAACAAATATATGAAAAGCATGTTATCTTACTGTAAAATTTTTTAATGTCTCTTATTACTTTTATAATGCATGTTTTCAAATAAGTATTGTTTTGTTTTTTGTATTTTGCTCTTCTTCAGCATGAATCTTACTCATTATTTATGGTCCTCAAAGCCAGTCTCTGAATGTTGGTGTTCTTCTATCTGACTGCTTGTTTAGGAATTGAAATCACAAAGGTCCTCATTTTTAGGAAGTACTAAAAAGCCTCATGTTTATTTACCTAAGGCAGTCTTCTCAAACTTTAGTGATAGTCAGAATTTCTGGAGTTCTTGTTAAAATACAAATTACTGGGCCCCACTACCCCCAGAGTTTCTGTTTGAAGAGGTGTTAGACCGAGGCCTGAGAATTTGCATTTTCATTAGTTCTCAGCTGATGCTGGTGGCTCGCCGACCATATTTTGAAGACTTCTGCCTTAAGTTAATTAGAAAATAGAACTGAATGCCCTCAACAGAAAATCTGAATATTTCTCCTACAGAATCTTCTCTGAGGGAATTTGTCTTCACTTAGAAAAGGCAGATATAACATTTTTAGAAATAGTCTAGTTTTCTAAATAATAATGTGTGTGAGGAGGCTACCATTTTGTTAAGTCCCCAGATTTTAACTGGAAAGCCATTGTTGCATTTTTTCCCAAGGTTTCTGTTGGTAAATTTGAAGCTTTCTAAATTGGCAAGTTTGTTGTAACTTTAAAATCCATTGGCCTTTTTGAGAAAAAGTTTGTTCTCCCAGCAGATTCATTATATGTGGCATATACGACAAATTTAGCAAACATATCTAGTAACTTTTTAATGTACTTTTTAATTTTCCAAGATTGAATTTCAAGAATTCCAGATTCTAAACAGCTTTTTCTAACAGACACAGGATTGAAATGACTCTTTCCTGGGGTAACCCTTCACAGTAAGGTTTAATACTTGGGTATCCTTTTCCTGCTTTGATATGTTTTCCAGTCATAAATTCTGGTTTCTGTCTAATTGGGAAAGATGTAAGATTGTTTAAGTGATTAAGACAAGGAAGCTGCCGGGAAAACTGGAGTGAGAATAAGGGTCATAGAGAACCATCAAATAAACTTACTTTTTTTAAATGCTGAGAGAGAGGGAAGTGTCACATTTCATTCATAATTCTGTTTGGTTTTTAATCATTATTTCAAGTTTTTCTTCCTTTAAAAATAATTGATCAACATTTCTATTGCAATTCATTGTTTACTCATATTTATAGCAGTTAACATGTCTCTGAGTTTCAGATGGATAATAATGAGAAAGGAAATTTCATTTTCTGTTAGGCCCTCTGTTGGTAGCTGCCCTTATTACATCATCCTCAAAGGTTTGAGAAAACCCAAAAGATAGTCTTTAGCTAAAATTTTTAAAAACACACCTCATTAAGAATTCTACATTAATTCATGAATTTATTCAAATTCATTTTCCCTACTGATAATGTGAACTTCAACAATTCTTAGAATTAATAACTTCTTCATGTTATTGCAAGACCACATACATCATCCATGGGGCCCAGTACGAAATGAAAATGTGGTGTGCATTGTTCATAAATGATTAAGAATTTAAAGTCCTCAGCAGCAGAACACTGAACCAAGCAGAGGCCTTTATAACCACAGAACTCTGTGCAAGTACATAGTCTAAACTCAGAAACCATGAAGCTGGCTCAGATTACCTGCTGTGAAAAGAATGCCTTCCATTTGACTTCAGACTGACTTTCTGAGACCATCTCCCATAGTTCCTGTGCACCAGGGTTTGGGGAATCCTGAATGAGGTGGGGCGTCAGGAGAGAGTAAAGGATGACAAATGAAACAGGAGTCTAGTATGAAGCAAAGGGAAAGGGTGGAAGTAAAACGGGGTATGTCTGTGACAGGGAGTATTTAGTAATAAACAGCAGTAATTCTGCTTTTGTGAAATAGTATTAAAATGTATCATTTTATTTCAGTGAATATCACCATCTCCAGATGGTTTTCAGAATGTTAAATAAAACTAGTTTCAGCTACATCCCTCAGGCATACTTGTATTAACATTTCTCATCAAAAGAAATGTTGATGTATTTCTTTGTTTGCTGTCTCTATCATCTTTGGAAAAGTCATCCCATAATTTATCTGCTTTGTTTTTATACTAGCATCAACTGTGAGAATCTTCTATTCCTCCTCTGTAGCCCACTAAATGCAGGCCTTCTCTCAGGTCTTTATAGATTCATACTTCACAAGGTTACCTTCCTTAGGTATTATTTTGATCTGATCATTTCACTTCCCAAAAGCCCAGAATCACATGCTTCTTGGGTCAAAGAAAAATTATTGATTTTAACCTGAGTTTTTTAACTTACTGAGTTCCCAAAACTAATTTCCTGATCCACAACTCAGCCCCAATTTGTACTTTGTACTTGGGCCAAGAAAATTTGTTTTGCCTTCCCCTTGACACCCTTCAGGCTCCCCTGGTGGCTCAGATGATAAAGAGTCTTCCTGCAATGTGAGAGACCTGGATTCGATCCCCTGGGTGGGAAGATCCCCTGGAGAAGGGAGTGGCTACCCACTTCAGTATTCTTGCCTGGAAAATCCCATGGACAGAGGAACCTGGCAACCTCCGGACCATGGCGCCACAGAGAGTCTGGACACAACAGAGCGACTTTCACTTTTTTGATACCCTTCATAATCTTTCACTGAATCACCACATATGCTGTTCTCTTCATTTGACCCGTTATAACTCACTTAGTTCTCTTAAATTTTCAGGTTTCGCTAAAAATTTGGTAGAGCCATCCTGAAGTAATTATTAATTATAATCCTTATCACTGTGTTAACTAAAAGAACTCGAAGGAGTCATTTAATTTCGCTAAGGCTCAGTTTCTTCATTTGTATAAAGGGAATATTATCTATCTCTTAGGATTTTGTAAAGATTAAATAATAGGGCTTCCCTGATAGCTCAGTTGGTAAAGAATCCACCTGCAATACAGGAGACCCTGGTTCGATTTCTGGGTTGGGAAGATCGCCTGGAGAAGGGAAGGGCTACCCACTCCAGTATTCTGGCCTGGAAAATTCCAGGGACTTTATAGTCCATGGGGTCGCAAAGAGTCGGACACAATTGAGCGACTTTCACTTTCAAATAATATAATAAATATGTAACAATATATCTATGTTATCTAACAGTAATAAAGCACCTGGTATTACTGACCCAGTCACATGGTAGATGCTACTAAATGCTTCATTTTTGTTCCTTTTCTTTTTTTTTAGTGTTCTTGGACACCTAGTTCTTTTCTGTATTTCGGGGGATAAACATAATATAGCCTAGTATTGACTAGTCCTCTCTCCTATTAAACTGTAAGTTATTAGCTATTAGGACTGTTTTGTTTCCTTTCTCTATAGTTTCAAAACTTCATCACATAGCAGACATTAGACCCATATTCTTACCTCTCCTGTTAGTGACTAAACTTTAAGTAACTAAACTCTTATTCCTTACAAGCAGTTATTAGTATCCCTTAAGATGCTTCATTTTGGTTATACCTGTTTGGATTTTTTTTAGTCTAGTACAGTTTATGAGCATAATTCTACTTTTGAAATCACTAATATTTCAGTAATTATACCATATACCTATCATACCTACAGTAATTTCCATCAGGTAATTTTCTTATCTGTGGGCTTTCTTCTATCATCAGGATCTAATTCTGTCCGTAATGTTGTAAGCATGTATGGCTTTTACGTAATTGCCTAGCTCAGTACCATTATCCACCTTCTTGTGCTTAGTGAATGTCATGCATCTAATACACTACTTTGATTTTAAAATAGAAATTTCATCACATTTTAACACTTCTGAAAATAAAATGTTTTATAATTTGATATTTTAAAACTCTTTCTTAGTAGTACATATAATAATGATATTCTTTATAATCAATGATGTTTTAAGATTGATGAAATACAGTATTACTCAGTAAATACTTGATGCCTTGAATTGAAGTAATACTTGGTGCTACTTTGCCCACTAGCCGCTAAAGTGTGTGGTACCTGTAACTTAAAAAACCAGGGCATTCTCAACTAGGTTATTCTTCTCTTCTGAAGATACAGATTTTTTTCAAAATTTTGACCATCTCTAATATACACCATTCTTTCAACTTTTTCTTGCCCAAGCTAACTATCAGTAAGACCATCTTCACTTATATCAGTGTTTTCGTAACCACATGGATACAGACAAATTTTCTGGGCATTTTGTTTGTAAGTTCGTATCTGCCAGTCTGTGGAGTTTGCTCAGTCCTGAATGTAATGAAAGCTCATTAATGAATTGATGCCTCCTAAAAGAACAGTTTCCCTGTCCCTTCTTGGGCCTAGTTCCAGTTTCACTTGTACCTCAAGAAGCCAGTGATCTCTGTGGAATCATTTGGCATATTTCAAATTGAATGGATATGATTTAGCCTAGTGAAAAGAGCTTACACTTTCAAGTCACACAGATCTTTGAAGTTTGGATTTGAATCCAAAAGTTCTACCATTTATATGTTCCATGTGTGACTTTTATTAAATTCTCTTACTCTTCTAGACTTCTACTACTATTATTGTTAACCACCATTAACCACATGTACTGTTATAAACGGTTGTCGACAGGCCTCTGAAATCTAACCTGGTACTACCACCCAACCAAAATGGTGCAGCTTACAAGAATCCTAGTCTCTTAATGAAGAAAGAAAATTATGAAGACGATGTATCTGTTTACCTTTAAAAAAAAATTACATATTTTTGTAAGGGCTATGGCTAGCTTTGAATTGAATTCCTATAAAGAAATACAAGTATTCAGATGAACTTTCATTTTTTCTTTATTGAAAAAAGTTTTTAAAAATCATTCTTAATCTTCTTCCTTAGAATGTAATTAAAAGGCAGTGAGGCTGGCCTGGGTACAAAGTGCACAGATGCAATTCTGCAGAAAATGTGTCTTTGGCAGATGAGATTCTTCCTGTGAATGTTCTGTTTATTGCTGCCATAAATATTCTATTGTCAAAACATGACTTGCTGTTTATTAGCAGCACTGACAGGAAGATTCCTATTAATGGTAGCATTCTTATTACCCATAAACCCTGTCACTTTTAACTTTGCAATTCTAAGAGAATTGTATTTGGTAATTACTTAAGATATTTCTTAGCTCATTGATCCCTACCCCTGTTTAACTGAGTGGAGTTTGAGTGGCAGTTCTTCTCAGTGACTTACACTGGAAAAAGTCATCAAGGCTGCCTCTTTGTAAGCAAGGAGAGACCTGCTGCCTATCACCCTTGACCTCGTTTCATCCTGCCGGAAACACACAGTGCGTCGAGCACCCACTGAGAGCAGTGTGCTGAGCAAAGACGTATGTGCGGTCACTACCCTTAGAGAGTTTACAGTCTAGGTTGGAGATAAGCAGAATGTGCAGTTGCTTAACCTGCAGCTGGGATGGGTTGCCTTCAGTCAGAGAGGCTTGAATCTAGATCATACTAATTGCCTGTCTTTTGGAAACTTTAACTTCATTTTTATAGTTTGTTTCTTCATGTGAGAACTAGAGTCTATCTCATGGGATTGAGAGAATTAACCTTGAAAGTAGTAAGCATTCTATAAATGTTCATGCTCTGCCTCTTTATGTCATCTCCATGGTTTATAATTGGCAAAAACATGTGCATCGTCTGATCCTCACAACCCAGGATAGCTTGGATATATCCTCATTTGTTGAAGAGGAAAGCTAAGGCTAAGAGAGACAGAGTATAATACTCAGGCTCATCCAGCTGATTGAATGGTGTAGTCAAACTGAAAGCCCAAGTTTCCTAACTTATGTTACAGTGTGTTTTCTATTCTTATACCCACACTTGAGTGACTAACATTTAAAATTAGGCTCATCAGTGCCAGTGTATAGAGTTAGTAGATGTCTGCATTTGGAGATGAGGTGAAGGAAAAGAGCCAGTGTTTTCATTGGGACATAAATGGAACCATGTAAGATTATTATTATTATTATTTTATTTTATTATTTTTGGAACCATATAAGATCATTATGGTTTGAAAAAAGGTTTGTGTAAGTATGTAGGGAATGCCCCACAGGTGCCCTAGCTAGAGCAGAAAGCACAGGACTAGGATAAACCCTAAGTAAGAGCAGAGGGCGTTTGTGTACTGAATTGGTGTTCTTAGAACCCACTTCAGCCTTTCTTTGATGATGGCACTAACCAGAAGTTATTTAGGCTTTGGGATCATGTTTGTGATGTTTTTCAACTCTATTCTCATTCTGAGTTGAACTGTTCAGGTGATAATGTGGTACAGTAGAAAGTACGTGGCCTTTATAGTCAAAGTGAAGTCGCTCAGTTGTGTCTGACTCTTTGCAACCCCATGGACTGTAGCCTACCAGGCTTCTCTGTCCATGGGATTTTCCAGGTAAGAGTACTGGAGTGGGTTGCCATTTCCTTCTCCAGGGGATCTTCCCGACTCAGGGATCGAACCCAGGTCTCCAACATTTTAGGCAGATGCTTTACCGTCTGAGCCACCAGGGAGATTTATAGTCAAATCTCGGGTCAAATGTCAGCACTCTTAGTCCATAGCAATGTAATCTTGGACAAGTAACTTAATTTCTCTGAGCTTCTGTTTTCTTATCTACAGATTAAACAAAATAAATAATATTTTAAAATGTAATTGTGAAAATTAGGTGGGTTAACAGATATATAATGCCTTGCACCTAGTAGGCATGTAAGAAATTTTAGGTCCTTTAAACCTGTACTTCAACATTTAAGGACCTGAAGTTGCGGTCGCTACATCCTCCTAATTGTATTCTGATTTTCTTCATCTAAAGCAGAATTTCCTTAGATTTCTACTAAGCTCATGTTTCTTAGAATTGAATAATTTTCTCTTTCTTGATAGCCTATTATGGGTCTTTCATAATTATTTTTTATGAAATAATATTAAGTGAAAAGAAGTTCTCAAGTTACACCCAAAATGTAAAAAGGGTCAATTTTAATTTTCCACTATCAAGGCTCTAATAGTAAAAAAGTTTTTGTCTTAATTATAAAATTCATTCTTCCTTTCCATAACTAGAATATGTATAAGCTAGGAAAAGTAATTGCACTGGTTAATAATGGATTATCATTCTTAACAGAGTGGAAGGCATTTCTATAGGGATAAAACTCTTTAGAAATAATATTTATTCATCATAAATAGAAACTGATGCCATTATAGTTCAGTGTTATTTTGTTATCTATTACTTATTGATAAGACAATCATATTTCCCCAGATTCCTTAACGTCTATTACCTATATCCTTTTAAAAAAACTTGTGAAGATAAATGCCGTGAAATTCATGCTAAAAAATCACACGGTGAGTCTTATTTCCTTGAATTAATGACTGAAGTTGTCTGAGTAGTTTAGGTCAAGCATTAGTAACTTTGGATGCTCTTTTACTTTCATTAGAGTGAATACTTCCCCTTTCTTGGCATCAGTGACAGTTACAGTCTCAGTGACTTCAGATGCCGAACAACCTTCTACACAGCCCTCACTCGTCTTCTGATGGTAGATCTAGGTAAGGTTAAGAATATAAGCTTAATTAATAAGGGATCGACAATATATTTGTGTGAATGAAGGAGTGTCATACTTGTGGGTACCATATTTAGCTAATTGGAATTTGCCATCTTTGATAGTTTTCTTACAGCTTTCTAATATTTGAGCATTGACTCACTAGCTTCAGAGCCAAAAGACAGATTTTTGTATAGAAGGTGGTATTTTTCGCTTCACTTAGTGTTTGTGTTAATTCCTTATTCAAACTTTATTTTCTGGGTGTCCTTTGACCCTTTCGGACTTCCCTAGTGGCTCAGGCAGTAAAACATCCGCCTGCAATGCAGGAGACCCGGATTCTCGGGAAGATCCCTTAGAGACGGGAATGGCAGTCCACTCCAGTATTCTGGCCTGGACAATTCCACGGACAGAGGAACCATGGCGGGCCACAGTGCATGGGATCGCCTAGTGTCAGACACAACTGAGTGACTAAGACTTGCGCTTTGATCCATTAATTTTACTGCTATACAAATCAAAAAGTAATCTTAAATACAGAAAAGCTCAATAAGAAAGATTTTCTTTGTAATGGCATTTAATCTAGAGAAATGTGGCAATGATGTAAATGTCCAACAATAGAGAATTATAAAGTTAGCCGGATATACTTACTTGATGGAATAGTCTGTAGTCATTAAAAATTATGATTCGAAGACAAAGTAATATGTGAAATTTTGTTATAATATTAAGCAAAAAAGTAAGGTATTAAGCTGTGCAAATGATGTTGAGCATGCTCATTGGGAGAGAAACAATGCATCAAAAAAAAGTCTTAAATGAAATTCTTCAAAAATGTTAAATGTTGTCTTTGAGTAGTGTGCTATAGATAACTTCCTCTTTTCTGATAATTTGAATTTTTCCTTACTGTATTATTTTCCTAATGGGAAAAATTAACTTGCTTTTGTTCTATTTTGTTCTATTAGCTTTGAAAAGCTAAAAGTAAGAAGTATCCACAAGCAGATAGCTACCTTAGAATGGGTACTTAAGCTTCTCTGTGTTGACCCTGTCATCCTGGAATCCCATTTCCCCCATGTTTGGGTACTTCAGGTTAAATTAGTCAGTTTATAGACACATGAGAAATTTAAATCAATGACAGTGTCACCCTTAGAGAAAAGAATACGTTTTCTTCCGTTCTCTCGCAATGTATTGATTGATCCATCTATTTAAATATGAGTTTTTTAAAACACGATCATATGTAAAGAAAAGGGATAAATAATTTCATTTTGCACATAAAAGGCATTGACCCTTGTAATAGAAAGATAACTAAATCCTTCTTTGCTCCACATCTATGTTATTTCCATGCATTTCAACAGAATATATTACCAGAAAGACAAACAGCCAAAAGTTGAGGAAAATGCAACTGGAATGATTAAGGAGCTTAGTGGGATTGATTTCTAAAGAAAGATTAAAAGAACCATGTATGTATAACTTGGCTAAGTGACAAGTAGGGCTTGAGGCAAAGAAAACTGTCTATAAATATTTGAAGAGTGTAAACCAGGCATGCAAAACCCAATCATCTGCTACCTTAGGCAAATGGGAGATCTGAGTGACAGCTTCGCATACTGCACACTGGCCTGTGTTACCTCTCAGCGGCTGCCTCGGAGAGCAGAAGAGCAGTCCAGACTCTGTCATCGTCCTCCATAATCATTTAGAGAGCACCCTGTGCCGAGCTCTGAGGACAAGACAAGGACCAGTCAGACATACTGGCCCCTGCCCTCATGGAGCTAGCCTTCTTGCCTTCCCAATTGTCCAAGCATTAAAGGAGATAGTGAAACCCTTGTCTAGACTTAATTTGTTTCCTAAACCTTAAAAATGCTGCTCTTTTAATGACCTGTCAAACAGACTGAAAGAAGCAGGGAGACCAAAGTTAAACAGATATTCAATGTAAGTAAACTAAATCTGAGAGTAGATAAAAATTAAAAACAATATCAGCTGCAGTCAGGGAACTTGCGCATTGTTTGAAAAGAAATTTTTTATTTAATAGTATTTTTTCATTTTTAAAAATAATTAAACATATATTATAAGCATCAAGTGATGATTTGTGGTAAATATTGCCAGAGCTTCCTTCCCTTGTTACAAACCAGAGTTCCTTTTCTTCCCCAAATATATTGACCTTCTTTAGGGTATAGATTTTGCCTTCTTCATCTTTTCTAGTACCAGTCTTAGTGTCTCTACATTGTAGGTGCTCAATTAGTATTAGGTGAATGAAGAACACACCATGCCATCATCCTGGCTCCTGAGTTCACCTCTGCCTGCCATGGTCTCTCTCTGGAAGTAGCCTGATCATTGGGCTCTCGAAGACAAATCAAGTGGCTGATTGCTTTTGCAAGTGTTTATCTACACTTGGCCACTTTTGTGCTCGATGAGGCACTTGTTGCTCTCTGTTCAAGTTATTACTTTATAGACAAGCATTTGTTGAGTGTTGTTGAACACAGTTTTATTATTTGAAGCCTGTCTCACAAGCTAGATTGACTAGATGTTGCTATCAGAATCCCTGTGTATATGGCTTTATAGTTTTCTGTTGGGTGTTCACTTTCATGAAAACAAGGAAAAAAGAGATAGTGATGTTGTCAAATTCAAAGATCCATGTATTAAATGAGGGAAATATTAGATAATGAGAATTCTTCTCAAATTAAACAAAAAAATTGGAGAGGAACATTTTATTTTATATCAGTGATTTTTTAAAAAATCGCATAGAAAATATGCCTAGCCAACCTGCTTGCAAAGCATTGGACGTGATTCTTGGATTGAAATATAAAGCATATTCTAATTGAATCTTACAAAGAAATTGAATATTCTTTGTGTATAAGCCATGCACACTAGAGTGATTTAAAAGGGGGAAGAAATTGGGTGTCACATTAATTGGTATTTACTTTGAAATCCATTTTCGTTTCTATTCAGTAATTTGTACTTTGTGTGAATTTAATTAGATGCTATGTGCCCCAGGTTGTATTTCAGATTAAAATGGGGGGGGGTGTTGACAATAAATAGTTGTACCACTTTATCAAATTGCTCTTTGGCTAAACTAGACAAAATGTTCACTTGTATGAAGAACAGAATTGAAAGCATTTCATCATCAGAAAGACGATGTTTATGTTGGCAACATATTTTTTTTATTTTAAGAAATTATAAGAATTAATAAAAGAAAAACCCTTCATGAGATAACATACATACAGAAAAAAATAGTGACCAACCATATGTGCATGCATGTTAGCCCTTCCAAGAATCACTTAAAGTTCCCAAGGTTATTTTTAAATTAACTTTGTCAATCTAATAAACTAAAGGAAAGATAATATTACCCAAGCCAGTAAATGGAGAACCTCCAGGGAGCTGTTCAGTGTAAAATACTTGAATAAATAAAAACCTTCTATTTTGTTTAATTTGAGTGGAGGTGAATTCAGTTGACAAATTATTGAAGAGGGGAAGTGTGGGAGCGAGCTACAATACACCTTTTTGTTTTTCAGGGAACTAAATATTGTTAGTTGCAGGTTAAGTTTTTTACCAACCACAAATTTAGAATTGCTCAGTGTCATAGTTGAGTTTCCTTGGACACTTTATGATTGTACCTTATCTTGAGCTACTCAGATGAGAAGCATGTTGATGGGATCTGAGTGAGCAGTGCTTTCCTCAGATATTCAGACAAGCAGTCATACTTTTCATGATCACAGGGGTACTAATATTAAAATGGTGTTTATGGACTTTAAGAGAGAGTTCTCTCTTTAGGGATGAAGGTAGCATAATATCCATGTACCTTTGTGGCTTCTAATAGGTAATTGGCACCTGAAGATATCTCTAGCTTAAATTTGAAAAATTTGAAATAGCAAGTAAATGACTTGAATAGAAAGGGAAGAGTATTCTAGAAATAGCTGCTAAAGAAAGAAGTGAAAATACAGAGGAAATTCCTTTTCTTTATTGATAACAACTAACATTTGTTTACAAATTTATAGTTTGCAGACCACTTTGACATACATTTTCCTATTTGATCTTCACCACAGCCTACATGAACTAGGTATCACTGCATTGTGTGTCTGTTAGGAAAGTGAGATACAAAGAGATTAAATGATTTGCCCAAGGTCAGGCATATAATTTGTAGCCCTTGACCATATATTCACTTTTGCTGTTCCTTTGCCTGTCACTTTCTCAAATCAATTAGGGAGTGTAACTTTTTCTTCTTCATTTTTATTTGAACTACTTGGACTGAATGATTGATTTGAGGCTGGGGTAAGAAGGGATTACTTTCCAAACTTCTATCTAAACAGACAAGATTCATGTTTATTATTTGTCCTATATTGGTGTATTCACAGTTCTGTGGTCAGTGAAAGTCAAATGTAGTTTTTGAAATTTTTTCTTATGTCTAATAATTGGCTAAAGTGTATTCCTTCTCATGGAAAAAAGGACACAGGAGTAGATAGATATCCCAGGAGGATTTAGTAAGTGAGAAGCTTGATCAGAAATAGTCAGTGTTCTGATAGATAGGAAGAATACCTCAACGTCTATCACTTGTGTCTGTGACTTGGCAGAGACTATCTGGAAAATAGACATTTGTTGGGGTTGAGGAGGGAGTGGGCAATAGTGGGTAAAAAAGCAGCTGGAAATACTTAGAATCTATAATGAGATAATTAAGACTAATTAGCTGGCCCTGTAGGCAGAAAGCAGCCCATTAAATTCAGATCCAGTTTTAATAACTTACCTGGTTTTGAGGGTAGAGTCCAGAGCACCCCAGGGAATGAGATGCTTCAGGGGAGAAATTTTTAGGATAGGTTTCTTAGAAAAGAAATAAGTAGTCTTCTGTAGACATGTATTTATCTGCTGGGAACTAAAATAAACATTCTGGTTCCCTAGGGAGAAGAATTAAGATGTGCCTCAATTTTCTCATCTGTTAAATGGAGATACCTACTTTGAAGAACTGGAATGTGGTTTAAATAAGATAGCATGTGTGAAAGGGCCTGGAACAATTCCTTTCACAAAACAGGCACT